GGATTTTCTTCTTTTTTTGAGTATAAATCATCAAGCATTTTGCATGCATCATTTTTATTAGGCTTAATTTGGCTTTTAAATCGTTGAATTGCATTACTCAGATCTTTTTTATTAATGATTTTTCCTGAGAATAATGCAACTAACAAATTATACTGAGTTATTAGACCCATCTTTCCTTAAATTGTCCAAAACTTGATCTTATCAAGCATTTCGTAGGTTAGCTTTCGATACCGTGGTGCTATTTCTGAAACAAGAGGGTTCATTTCATGATTATGGCTGCCTACTATGCTGTTAACTTGAATGTTTTCTGCTGTCTTGAGAAATGTTAAATTAATGTGCCAAGAGCAACTGATCATTTCTGAATCCCTATTTCTTCTATTTTCTGCGAGAACAGTTTTTTCAGATTCATGCATACGAGCATGTGAACATTCATATGTGTGTCATCTTATTACAGTGTTATTATCAGAATCCAAAACACGCCTTCGTTTCTGAAAACTGAACCCTTTTTGTTTTGCGTAATCATTCAGGTATGATTCGGCAAGTTCTCATATTTTAAATTCCATCCCTTCGTATAATACTAATGAATCTTGTGCTTTCTCATTTTCGTTATCTTCATATTTATTATCCTCATTTTCACTATCATTATATTCACCTTTTTCATCAACATAAACTCCATTGTCTACTTTACATGGTCGAGTATCAACATCCGCATCTGATTCAACCAACTCATTGTTAGTTGACAGCTGAGAAGAACCTAATTGGAACAAGATCATAGATGTTAAAATTTGACAAAAACAAATTGTTAGTCATTTGTTAACGTAAGTACTTATTGGATCAAAATTGTTGGCACTAAAATAAGGTGACTGCAAAGTATTCACAAAATCTTGTTCGTAGGCGTTAGAATAAAATGACAGCGAAGTGTTTGCACTATCGTTATGATCGTGAATGTTAAGGTAAGACAATATGTCTTCTTGAGCATAGTCATGGGTATTAAAATAAGATGATGAAGAAGCACTTGGTGTATGGCTGTATTCGTAAGTGTTGAAATAAGGAAGTGGCGAAGAATAATGAAAATCGTTCATACTCTAGTCGTGAAAGGTTAGTTGTCACTAGATGTAAAAAAAAAAGAGCGATTAGTAAGCTGTTGAATTTATATAT